AAAAAATTTCCATTCATTTGTCACAATAAAATTGTTAACAACAACTTAAACTCCAGCTCACTCGTTATTATCTTCATACCACATCAGCATGTCACGTTATTCATGAAATACATAATTTCTCATTTGGTTAGACATGGCTATGCACATTGTCAACACATGATCCAAGATTAGGAAAATATATTTTCCCCGTGCGGAAAATAGGGAAAGTAAAAAGAGAAAAAAAAAAGAAAAAAAGACCGAAGAGGCAACTTGTGTGAAAAAAATAGGAACCGTTGATTACCATGATTCTCTCTCTCTCTCCCTCCTGACAAGTAACCCTGGTTATATTTTTTACAACCCACAGTCGTCTGTCTTTCCACGTGCCTCCCCCCTTTTTTTATTAACACGCGCACCCCTACACCGCTTGCTTCGTCATTTCCGCATCTCCCCCCCCCCCCCCCCCTCTCTCTCTTTCTCTCTCTCTCTCTCTCTCTCTCTCGCCGACTCATCCACTCTCCAGCCGGCACCTCTCAAGAACCCTAAAACCTTGACGTCTACCTCGCACCGCCGCACCCAGTCGATTCCAATCCGAATCTGAGGTAATTACTGCGAAAATTTTCGTCGCTAATTCTCGGTTGGTGCTGTTATGGCCACGCTTGAACTCTGTTTTTGAAGTGTGTTCTCGGTTTTTTTGTTCCAATTTCTGGAAATTTTGGTTTTTTGTTGTAGTTTGGGTGAGAAATAAAAGGGGAGATTTTTGAAGAACTTTGCTTTCATTTGGCTATTAATTTTATTGTTTTTTAGTTAATCTATACATATTTGTATACATATACATATATATATATATATATATATATATATATATATATATATATATATTTAAAAAGAGTGGGTTTTGAGATGTTAGATTAAGCAACTGTTTGGCTGAGTAAGCTGAAGGAGTTTGAACTGGATTTTCTTGTCAGCCAAACAAAGCTTAGCTTGGCTCTGTTGATTTAGTTGGTGCCCCCACCCACCTCTATTTTATTTTAATTTTCACGTTTGAATGAATTTTTATGTGCCTTTTGTAGACTTGTTATTAGTATTACACAAATCTGCTGACAAATTTGCATTTTTTCCCGTTTTGTTTCGATTTATTTGCCAATTTATACCTTTCAATTTGTTTTCTGCTGATTTCTCTTATGGTTTGTGGGTTCCTATAAAAATTACGTTCAAATTGATATAATGATCTTTATATCTCTGTTTCGTATTTGTTTTTATATTTTGTGAAAGAATGAATTTGTTTTCGTGTATAGAATGAAACCGATTATGTTTTGTCTTTATTTGATGAACTGAGTTACTAATTGTTTCCTATAAATTCAGTGTTTGAATCTGTTCCGGAAGCATTCAAGTAGTTAGAAATTAATGGCTATTTATTCGTTAAATCATATATGTGTATATCCCCTTTCTTTTTTAGTTATTTGCCTGAAAAAGAAGGTTGGGAGTCTTGAAAGCCATTTGGGAAAGTCTCTTTGTTCGAATTAATGGCTATTTATTCGGTGTTTTTTGAGCTGTCATGTGAGAATTAATTGGTTCGATTTGTTTTTCTTTTAGGATCTTGTTTTTATCACCCTTCTTATTTTCTTGTCTGGCTACCAATTTTGCAAATGTGCTATAGTTGTTCGGTCATAACTGTCTATGTTACTGCATACTCTCTTCTTATGATAACCGGTTTTTTTTCCTGCTTTGTAGACTTCTGAGGCGCTGGTTTCTTTCTCTGCATATGATGATCTGCTTTCTTCTCAATTTGGAGTAGATCGAACTGATTCAAGGTTGTTATGATCACCCCTGTTGTTTCTTCTTACATTTCTATAGCTTGAACATTTTCTTATACTTGGAACTTTTATGACCTTTTTCTAATGCGCGGTGTTTTCACTTGTGAGATTTGGCTACTGTAGTATAATAACTCTTTACTCTTATGCAGGATGATTTATTGTCACAATGATGCTGTAAAGAAATCAAGTTTCCTAAGATTCATGTACTGCTGCAGTTGACCAGCAGAAGTTCGGTTTAAATTCTGTGGTCGAAATGGATCGGCGTGATACATCAGGATTTGTTAGTGGGGGTGGGATGTACTCTACCAGAGACATCTAACTCTAACTTTGTAGATAATGTTATTTAGCCCAGAAGTTGGCACTGTTCTTTTGCAATTCGATTAGGTCTCTGTAAATTATTTTAGTTGTTACTTAATGGACAATAGGTTGCAGAGTCTGAGTTTCGCTGCAAATTTTTCTTCAAATGCCTTCAAGATCTTGGGCAACTCCATGCAAGTTGGTGGAGCCGGAGGGGAGTATTCTGCAGATACTATCTTACGGCTTAATTCCCCTGGTTCTTCAATGCCTTACATGCCAAGCCCAAAAGGAATCAAACGGAAGTGGAGTTTGGTTGGTGGATCTTTGACCCAGCACGTTAGCTCTTCACTGGTGCTTGGGCTTGGCCGTTCAACGAGTTCCTCAGACAGCAAGGGGAGCTCAGCTACTGCTTGCACTACAATGTCTTCAACCAAAGAAATGGATGAGGAGTCCTCGATGGATTTTGAATTGGACTTTGCTCTTCATCTTGGAATTGAAAAGGTACCTAGCCCGAGGAAACCTGCTAAGAGTGCACTGGAACTGCAGCCCAAGGTTGACTTGGAGTTAAGTCTCTCCACTGGGTTGTCTGAATCTGAAATCGCTAGTGTCAATCCAAGCCCCGGCTCGGTCCTTTCAGGCATGGAGTTGCCATTGGCGACTGGTAGGGCCCAAAATGTAGATGGAGTAACTTCATTCCCTTTGAAGCGAAGGTTTTCCATGCAACCATTGCAGACTTCATTCAACCCAGGGGCTAGCGTCCTTTTCAATGAGGTTTCACAAAAGATTGACTTTACTGCTAGTGTTCCGGATCTCTCATCAAGCATGTTAACCACTCCAAATAGCTCAGTCACCTGTATTTCTTCTGGGATAACACAGAAACAACAGTCACAGCATCGCAGCTCTAATTCAAAGACATGCCAGGTTGAAGGGTGTGGAAAGGGTGCCAGAGGTGCCTCAGGCCGTTGCATATCTCATGGTGGTGGTAGGAGGTGTCAGAGATCTGGCTGCCACAAGGGTGCTGAAGGCAGGACAGTGTACTGCAAGGCCCACGGTGGTGGCCGGAGATGTGAATTCCTTGGGTGCACAAAGAGTGCCGAAGGACGTACAGACTTTTGTATTGCTCACGGTGGTGGCCGGAGGTGCAGTCATGAAGGTTGCAGTCGAGCTGCCAGAGGGAAATCAGGATTGTGCATCAGGCATGGTGGTGGCAAGAGATGTCAAAGAGAAAATTGCACAAAGAGTGCGGAGGGCCTTTCGGGCCTTTGCATCTCACATGGAGGAGGCCGTCGATGCCAAACTATAGGATGCACAAAAGGGGCGCAAGGGAGTACAATGTTCTGCAAGGCTCATGGTGGGGGGAAGCGGTGCACTGCTCCTGGTTGCACCAAGGGAGCTGAAGGGAGCACACCCTATTGCAAAGGCCATGGTGGAGGGAAAAGGTGTGCATTCCAAGGTGGTGGGCATTGTACAAAGAGTGTGCATGGTGGTACCAACTTCTGTGTGGCACATGGGGGTGGCAAGCGATGTGCCATGCCTGAGTGCACAAAGAGTGCGAGGGGACGAACTGACTACTGTGTCCGACATGGTGGGGGAAAGAGGTGCAAGTCTGAAGGGTGTGGTAAGAGTGCGCAAGGCAGCACTGACTTCTGCAAGGCTCATGGTGGAGGGAAGAGATGCTCATGGGGCCATCCGGGGTCAGTTTATGGTGGCCAAGCTAGCGCCCCTTGTAACTCATTTGCAAGGGGGAAGACAGGCCTCTGTGCCCTCCATAGTGGTCTGGTTCAAGATAACAGGGTTCATGGAGGTATTACTTTGGGACCTATGGTTCAAGACCCTAAACTTGGGAAGTCGGAGAAGATGAAAGAAGTAGTCATTGCTGACGACATGAATGTTGATGTGATGAATATCGTGAGTGGCATAAGGACTTCAGCAACTGGAGCTTATTCTGACTTGAAACATGGTGGTGAATCTTCAGTCCCCACGCTCGTGCCAGAAGGCAGGGTGCATGGGGGAAGTCTGATGGCTCTGTTGGCGGGTGACGGTTCAGATTCCAACGCAAACAGCATGGGAAGCAATCCATCTGGGCCAAAGAAGTCCTACATGATGCATCTGAACTGGATGTAAGGCTATTTCCTATCTTGTTCTTTGATTCGGTCTTGTGGTTGGCAAGTGTTTCTCAGGTAGTCAGCATGTCTGAGTGCTATGTTTCTTAGTTTGGTTTAGTCCTTTGATATACATTAGAAGTCAGTTCTCGTTCATTGGTTCGAATGGAGAGAACCCGTAAGCACTGAAAAGATGTTAGTGTAACAGTTGTTATGGGTATATCAAGGTAGGGCATAGTGTTAGAAGTTGGAGTCAGGTCATTGGTGTTCTTTCCTGTAAATATGTCTGTCGTTCCAGCAGTTTGTTTGTGAATACAGGTAAGGTTATACTGCCTGTAGGGTCGGTCAGTTTGTCAGAAATTCTGGTGCAATAAAAGCCTTTTTCTGAGATCATTGTCATCCGTCTGCCGTGTTTGGTATGCTTGTTTGTCTTGCAATTTAGTTGCTAATAAATTTTTGCTGTTTAAAGGTAATGCGATTTGATGGATAATTGGGAAATTGGCTGAAATGATAAATTTACAAATCCAATTTCACTTAATTGATCGGTACGTCGCCAATATTTGATTGATGCTGTTGGTATCTGATTTTAATGGATTTGTAAAATGATCGTTTCAGTCGATTTCCCTTAATGATTTTCGGTTCGCGACAAATTTGTGTTAACTCAGAACATGACATGATTTTATTTTTATTTTTGTTGAACAAACGATATTATCTATACTAAAGAGGCAAAAGGGCGACATGAATAAACATATGATTAGGATGGATTCATATACAAGAATTAGTAATCCTTTGGAGAAGTATTAAGAAGAAAATAAAACCGGTTAATGATGTATTATAAATAATCCTTTGGAAATAGGTCAAAATTATGGAACTTATTTCTGGATTTTCCTTTTTATTGAAACTGCAACACATATTTTACATGATTATTTTTGGTATTAAATCTGCATATGTGGAGCTTTTCCTTTGTATACCATAATATTCCCCCCTGTCAAGTTAGAATTTGGCCAGTTTAGAAAGCTCATCAACTGCTTCAACCAAGTGATCAAGCCTGGCCACAAACTCTATCAGCAGCGATGTGAAGTTGGCCAGGGACAACGCTGCAGTGCTTTCCAACGCCTTCATCCTCGGCAAGTAGTCTCCGGCAGATCCCTCTTCTTCAAAAGCATCAACCTGTCGAGGTGGCCACGAGTAATGCTGCCTCCTCGACTGCTTCCTCATCAGCTCATGGTAATTGTTAGGCTCCGGCTGCTGCTGCTGCTGCGTGCTTTGGTTTAGTTGCTGGCTCGAGTTCTTCTCGGGGCTATTGCTGCTGTCGAGATCAGCCAGTTGGCTGGCGGCATCGGAGAAGGTGTTCGACAAGGTTAGAGAGAGCCTGGTGAGTGGCTTGGAGTAGGTGTAGGTGTCCGGTGGTTCAGACGGCGATGTGAGGAGGTAAGAGTGTATGTCGATGGCGCGTTGGAGTCGCTCTGTTGAGCTGTGGAGTTTCTTCAGTAGGGATGTTCTGGTGCTTCTTTTCATGTCGCTGATGTCTTTACCCAGACTTCTTACCAGTTCTGCGGCGTGGTTCGTCGCATCTCGGATCTCCGATTGGAATGTAATCCGGAGGTTGTACGGTGCCTAAATACCAATCAATAAAAAAAAAATGCAAATTATCGACAAATTGTTTTACTAAAAGGATAATGTTAGGAAGATTAAAATTTTAAATCACATGATATCACCACTTAGAAATAAGCACGTTAATTAATATTTAAATATTAATTTAATCATTAACTACATCATTTGGTTTAAAATTTTGGCTTCCGTTGTATTACTGTTATTGAAATAATCTCTTTCATACTTTTTTGTCATAACCATTTCAATAAACCCAATTCTACCCATTGAAAACCAATTTTAACCAATTATATCTCGAAAAATCTTCTTTGTTTTTATCTCTTTTATCACGGTGCACAATGAAATATACCTAGTTGCACACAAGCTTCTCGAGTGAAAGTGTTTTAAGGCCCCACAATCCCCACTAACATTTGTTTGTTTTTTCTGAACAAATTCAATTGGGGTTGTGAATCAGGTCATAGGAATATCTTTACATGCTTGAGAACGACGTATCAAAACAAACCAGCTGATCATCGTCATGTTTTGTAGCACGCCACATAATTATTATTATAATTATTAAGATTATTATTATTCCTGGTCCCTAAATATTGGACACTAACAACACCAAGAGAATAAACACATCATATAACTTGTATCCTTTGATTCCCAGCCAGCTCTGAATTCTTTCCAAATATTCCCCAGCTTCTAATGGTGTGAGGGAAAAGAGTTTATGATTCAGGCCTATCTGATTCCATATTATATTTAGGCCTCAAAAATGTCAATTAAGTCATTTTTCCTTGTCGACATATCACAGTCTGAGTTTTGTGTAGAAAAATTTCTTTTATGTTTGTAATGAGTTGCATGTGTCAAACTGTGGTTTGCATGTAAGCAGTAACAACTCGTTACATTTGTTAAAAATCAAACTCAGTCTTCATGCATACACATGGAGAAGGAGAATATATACCTGAATTTCAGAGTGCAAAACTCCATGAAGTGCCATAACCTCATAAGCACAATATCTCAAAACTGCTGCCACTTTCACATATTCTGACCAGGGATAGAAGAAGTGCCTGAATCTGCCGTGCGGTGGCTCCCATTTTGCCGACACAGCCTTGCATTTCAAAAATATATGTTCAAACTTTTTGTGGTTAACTTTTAACTTTTAATTAATATTATAAAAACCAATTAATTAAACAAGTTTAATTAATTATTACCAAAACCTCCAGTTTTGCTGATGAGTTCAATGTGTTCCGGCACTTCCTATAAGCAGGCTCATCTGGAAACTCATCCATAACAGTTTTGGAGAATTCAGGGTGCACTGACCCATCATCTTCTAGATATTTCCTAACACATTCTGAGAACAATTATAAGAAACATATAAATGGTTATATTTCTCTCTACGTTATGATAAAATGCCATCATCTAATCCAAAATCAATTAACAAATAATGAATATTATAATTTGCTCTGATACTATGTTATAATGTGAATATTAAACTTAAAGAATCGCGTTATGTGTCAAGTGAAGTCTACTTGTTATATCAAATATTATGAACGGTTGATATATAATTAACATAATCAAGATGTGGTCCGAAAATGTAGTCCATGTCTAGCATGGGATTTACATGCATGGCATGTTCTTAGGTTTATGTATGTATGTATGTTGCGTGCACGTTATTATTAACATATAGGATTTGCAATTTTCACCGTGGTTAGAAATTAAAAATACTAGTCGATTATTTTTGGCATACCTTCAAGTGAGTCAGCCACCGAGTCAAAGTTGTTGACTAGCTCCTTATGCAATTGCTCACCAGCCCAAATAGGACAAACAAGCACATTCACTAAGACAGCTACAAACCCTCCGATGGCGATAGAGTAGAGTCGATCCATTGCTGTCCTCATCGGGTTTCCCATCGATAAGCGATACCCAGAAACAACGATCAAACAATAGGTGAAAAGTACGACCCTGAACCCATACTCATATGGCACGAGTGATGGCCACAACTTCATGAACGATGTAATGGTTCCTGCATAAATAATCAATTAATTCCAACAAAAATAATAAGTGTTTGATAATTTGATCAATTTCTATGTGTTTGAATGGCTTTTATGATCGTCATTTGGGGATATTCGATGTGCGACATACCGATTATAAAGATGCTAAAGCCAATGATGATAGGTTCAGCTACGCGTCCAGAGCTTAGTGCTACTTGAGCAACACTAATGGCCAAGACTCCGGCAAGCAAACTCCCAAGAGCTCGGTTAAATCCTCTGTTAAAAGTTGCACCTAGAACAACAATGATACATGTTACATGGGCTTCTATATATGAACTAAATAAGCGGTTTGGTTACATATCAAAGTATATATGATTGAAAAGAAAATATTTGCTTGGTGTTAGGTTCTAATATCAGCTATCACCGTCCATGATTTAATTTGTTTGGCGTTGGGTTACTACTTGACACATGGTATGTGTGTGTGTGTGTGTGTGTGTGTGTGTGTGTATATGGCATACAATTAATGGGTGTATTGCCTCACTATGTTTGACAAATATTTGGTCAATGTTACTCAATTTGATCAAATATCGACATTGTACTAGGTATTATATATTGGTATCCAAAATCAGCTATCACCGTCCATGATTTAATAAGCTAATTGATCTTAAATTACTTGCAAACATGCACACGTAATATGCATGCGTAGTTGGATATGCTTTTTTTACCATCCACATATATATTGTTACCTTAGCTAGCTAGATGTTAAGTAGTTAGCATGTACAGTATGAATTGGCATAAATATATGTGCTTATGCTTGCATGCATTGATTTTTATGTATGCATGTACGTACGTACGTACCGACTGTATATTCGAACATGATGGCAACAGTGAGGATAGACCAGATGATATTGGTGCCAAAAACTTCATAAGGTGCTCGGAAGAGTATAAGCAAAGACACAAGAAGCACGGCCAGCCCCACTTTCAGTGAGAATTTCACTCTGTTGCTATCTTCTCTGGCAAATTCCCAAACGTTCCACACCCAAGCCTTAAGGGAGAATCCTCCTCCTCCTCCTTCTCCTTCTTCTCCCTTGCTGGATTCATGCTGTTTGACTTTGGTCACAGAACAAGGGATGTTAATCTCAATATTATTACTACCCTTTTTTCCGTTCATTCTCCAATGAAGCAGTATAGCCTCCCCCCAAACTCTTCTATCAGGTGCTCCTTCTCTAAGAGCCTCGTATTGTCGAATTAATCGCTTATAATAAAAAACACTTTTTGAAGAAGCCGGGGAGAACTAGGGAGGAGATAGATCAAATTAAACTGCGAGAACAGAGTTGAGTGGTAGGATTTGAGGTGTGTTCATCAAAGGAGAAGAGAGTAGGTTTTAAAGAGGAGGGGTGGTAGCTATGTTTGATGGGCAAGTAGGTTAAAAAGTACGTCTAGTCAGGATGTCATATATACAAGAAGAGAATACAATACGACAATAATAGAAAAGAGAGAAAATGAAGCTAAACCCTGAGGATAAAAAGATGCTTAATTACAATAATACAGCCTGCACTGCATGGATAGAGAATTAGAATCTCAAATGCAGTTTTCAATCGCCAAACACGTTTTCTCTTCCAAATATCGACCTCGTGAAGGTGGTATTTACAGAAGTATATCAGTGTATTACTGACAATCTATATATATTTTGTTTTCTGAAAATTTAACTTCTCCCCTCTAAACTCATTTTTTCTAGCCTATAACCTGTGGAGCCAAAAATATTCACTAGGCGACACGTGGATTTTTGGACAAAATAGGACAAAAATACCCTCGAGGCATACCGGGTCTCCTACACGCGAGCAGTGGAGAATCATCCATCAACCAAGTCAGGAGTACCCAAAATGGGTAACAATTCAAAACCTATTTCATATATGTTTTTACCTCATTTTTTCCTTATTCAATTAGCCATTTATTTCAAAAACCACCAAAACATTCATTTTATGTTTAAATAGCCAAATAAATTGGCTAATTAAACCTAAATTAAACCTAAAAACCCTAGCCACCTCCTAACTCTATAAATAGGCACCTATTCTCATCAAAAAATCAATTCCAACACTTTGGCAAAAATCCCAAAATTCTCTAAACACTCTTTCTCTCTAAATTCTAACTTTGGCATCGGAGGTTCTTCGGCCAAAGCCCCCCCCCATTCATCGTGGGCGCGTGAGGCTTTTGGCCTTAACCTAAGGTGCTAGTTGTTTTGTAGGTGCAAATCGTCCAAGATCGAAGAGGAGAAAATTTGCATCCACAAATTGGTGCTTTCATTGAGAGTTGAAATCCATACTCGTAGAAGACTCTCGCACAAAAAGGTTTTTTCTTTATTTTCTAGTCCATTTGAATATTTTTCATACGTTCTTATTATTAGAATTTTTTACTTGCAAAGGTTCTGTGATAAAACGTATAAATAAAATATAATGGCTAGAAATTTAAAAAATTCCACAAGTGAAAATTCTAATGTTCAAGAAATGGGATTGCGGAGATCCGTGAGGCTAAATGCGACAATAAGGGGAGCGGCATCATCATCACGAGCTTCCACCATGGGAACCACCGTGGTGGCTACCTCGGTAGCCACCCGCCGCGAGGTCCATGGTGCCTTCACCACGGCCACCATGGGAACCACCACGGTGGCTACTTCAGTAGCCACTCATGGCGAGGTCCATGGAGCCTTCACCACGGCCCGGAGATCCGTGAGGCAAAATGCGACAATAAGGGGAGCGGCATCATCACCACAAGCTTCTACCATGGGAACCACCGTGGTGGCTACCTCGGTAGCTACCCGCGGCGAGGTCCATGGTGCCTTTACCACGGCCACCATGGGAACCACCGCAGTGGCTACTTCGGTAGCCACTCGTGGCTACTTCGGTAGCCACTCGTGGCGAGGTCCATGAAGCCTTCACCACGGCCCGAGCCGTGCCATCCAAGGCTCACGGTACCAAGACCACGATCCAAGCCGTGCCATCTAAGTTTACGTGGACCCAAGCCCAAGCCTCGCATTCACATGCACCGCCCATTGAGCAGCCTGCTCCCGTGATCCAGCCTGCTCCCGTCAAGCAACCCACTCTCACGGCCCAACCTGCTCCTGCCGAGCAGCCTGCTCTCGTGACCCAGCCTGCTCCCGACGAGCAGCCCACTCTCACGGCCCAGCCTGCTTTCGTCGAGCAGCCCACTTCGGTGGCCCAGCCTGCTCCTGCCAAGCAGCCCACTCCCGTGGCCCAGCCTGCTCCTGCCAAGCAGCCTGCTCTCGTGACCCAGCCTGCTCCCGACGAGCAACCCACTCCGGTGGTCCAGCTTGCTTCCGTCGAGCAACCCACTCCTGTGGCCCAGCCTGCTCCTGCCAAGCAGCCTGCTCTCGTGACCCAGCCTGCTCCCGACGAGCAGCTCACTCCCGTGGTTCAGCCTGCTTCCGTCGAGCAGCCCACTCTCACGGCCCAACCTGCTCCTGCCGAGCAGCCTGCTCTCGTGACCCAGCCTGCTCCCGACGAGCAGCCCACTCTCACGGCCCATCATGCTCCAGTGGCTTTCCAAGCAGCCCAAGTCGACCCAAGACTATCTCAACCATCCGGACCTACCATCGAGCCGGGGGCATTCTCACCACATTTTTTCGTAGATTTGACATTTCCCAACTCAAATCTCGCGCCCGGAGTCTACCACCTTTCCACTGCCCAAGGAGGCGCATTCCTTCCAAGCTCTTCCAATCCAAATGGCGAACAACACTTGTCTCGACAAGTCATAGAGTTGACGAGCGCCCTTGCACAACAGAAAACCTTGGTGAATCAACTTTTGCAACGTATCGGGATCCAACGTGCCCCGGACGAGGTATCCCAAAGTAGGACAAGGGCAGACGAACATTTCCAGCAGCGTCCCGATAAGCAGCCACTCGACCAGCCACGAGCCGAACGTTTGGGCAGTGTACATTCCCGTCTTAGAGCGCGAAGGAGCATGCACTCTCGACTAGGCCCACGGAGGAGCATACATTCACGGTTGGGGTCATACTCCGATAGTCAACATGAGCAACCTTCCGGGCAAAGTGTCTATTCGCAGCTAAGCCCACAAGGAGCGTCTTCCACCTCACATCAGAGTAGGCAGCACGACGGACGGAGAGAAGTAGTCACTCAATCCAGCTCAAGTTCAACCAGCAGCCTGCGAAGAACTCGTTCGCCTACTAGGAACTCACCACATGCACTGCATCTGCGGCATAGACGAGCCAAACACATGGAAGAGCAGCCTAGACCAGCAAGTCATGACTGGGGGCAGCCGAGAGCTTTGCTACCCCAACAAAGGTAAATTCAGGAAGAAGTAGAGAGACTCTTGACCAAGCAATTGCATGATTTCCAACGCAACGAGGTCACCGACGAGGCACTACGACGGAACATAACCAACATAAGCAGGTCACCCTTCACGGAGAAGATCGAGCAGGCAGAGCCTCCACGCGAGTTCAGCATGCCACATTTCACATCTTTCAAAGGGGATGAAGACCCGGAGAGACACTTAAAACGTTACCAAAGCGCAATGATCCTTTATCAAAACAACGATGATCTCATGTGCAAGATATTCGCCACCACTCTACAAGGCGAGGCGCAAGATTGGTTCTACACCCTGCCGCCACAATCCATCCGAAATTTCTATGAACTTTCTTTGGTTTTCACCAAAGAATATTCATCTTATCGCTCGATCAAAAAGAAGTCTGACCATTTGTTCGAAGTCAAGAAAAACCCAAAAGGAATCGCTTCGCGACTATGTGAGGAGGTTCAAAAGTAGAGAAGGCAAAAATAGTTGGATGCAACGACTCGATAGCTAGAGCAGCCTTCCAAAAAGGACTTCCAGCAGACCACCCGTTATTCGGAAAATTGATCATGAAAGAGGATCTAACTCTAGCAGACTCTTTTGCTTTGGCAGAGAAGCATGCACTTTGGGATGAGGCTCGCCAATGCACATTCAAGAACCTGAAGAAGTACCCGACATCACCTCCCTAGAAGCAGCGGAGGACTTATTCGCATGTTTGACGGTATCTAAAGTAGGAATAAGCTCTACCATCATGCGAGAAGAGCTGGGGGCCCGACTACCTATATTCCACAGTTTAAAAGCTCTCCTCGATGCTATCAGTTGTATTCCACAGTTTAAAAGCTATCATTGATGTTATCAGAAATTCAAAAGCTAACTTTGGCGATTGTTGTTGTAACCTAAAAGCTTAAGTTTTACCTTCAAACGCACGCAGTCATCCTAATGACGTACTATTCTGCCCAATCCAGACGCGCGACGATAAAGGCGTAGACCCTGGCGGATGTAAAGTTTTTTAACGAACGCAACACTGGAAGGACACACTCGAAAGCAAGTTTTGTCCTCGTCACCCTAAAATATTCTACATAGGAGCAACATGTACCGGCAGTTAAGTACCATTTCTTGCTGCGCATCACACGGCCCTAGCCGACCCTTGCTCAATGATTCAACTCTAGAGTGGCCCAATACCGGCAGTTGAGCATCTCTCCTGTTGCGTATGACATGGCCCATCTCCACAGCTCCCTACTGCATCTTCACGCCGAGCCTAGGTGACGCAACAGAGCGGCCCAACGATGCCTCAGAAGTAGCCGAGCACACTCTAGCTGCGCCTACTTCACCCGATGGAGACTTCTGGCATTTGCATGTCGACGACGCAGAAAAGCCTTCATCACTGCCGGTAGAGAAGGCTCCAAAAAGATGGATCCCATCTAGGAAGGTCCGTACAAGATCAGCAGAGTAGGGGACAAGAGTAATTACACCCTCACCACCATGAAGGGGCAAAAAGATTGAAAAGAAATGGATGGCCTACAATCTGAAGAAGTACCATGTGTGACCTCCCGCTACATCAAAACCCGAAGACTCAATAAGCTCGACGGGCACCACCTCACAAGCTGAGGACTATCCAGTTGTTATGCAGTTCCTACCTTACAGCTAAAGTTCTCGTTCGTTTCACTCGTTTTTCAATGAGGAATTTAGAAGTAATCACAACTTGGCTTAGCTGCATGCTTACAACAACTAATCACTCTTGCACTTCAAAAGAAGACTGCGCCCTTCTTAGGGACTCATCGCAGGAATTGCGCCCCCCGAGGGACCAACCATGCTCTCCAGTGCGAGAGGGTAAACCAATTCTCCGACACCCATATGGGTCAGCTCTCCAAGACGAGAGGATAAACTTTACACTCCGAATATCCAGACGTGGATGAGTCTGGCTGCCCTAGTATAACTAGATGCACGATGGCTTGCGCCGGGATTCCTAGAAGTAGCCGCAATGGTCTTTTTCAAGGCTTAGCTAACTGAAGGATTTTGGGTCTCTTGGCCTAATCCGTGGGGAACCGGGCCCTAGAGACGGAGAGGGCACATTACGCAGTACATCCGATGGACGGCTGCCCT